ACTGCTGGGTCGCTTGACACAAGCATTGGTACTTGAAGTTCATTCATCTTGGTGGGGTCACTGCCTAATCTGAAACTGACTTCAATCCAGCCAATATATGGAATGGGCGTGTCATTGGCAGCAAAGACTGTCAGGGTCTCATCTCCCAACAACTCTGAGATGGGTTTGACAATAGTGTGAGGAAGGCAGCTCAGTCGCCAGGGCTCATTCACTATACTGGACTGTGCTCCCGTGTCCCACAGGGCTCTGACTGGTCGATTGTCCATGAAACAGTCCACCATACATCGGCTTCCTACAAGGCTTACTAACTGTGGCTGGTGTCGAGGTGGTATATAGTGAACTACACTTACAGCAGGTGAGGCGCCCGATGCTCTCTTTCCCAGGGCTGTTGTCGGTTGAATGACTGAGCTGGGTGGTGGCTGCTCATTTTGGGGCGCTGTTACTTGGACTACTGCTGGCCCCATCTCAGTAGCCCCTGCCCGTTTCCCGACAACGCTCTGCATCCGCGAGAGAAGTGGCCTTCCTTCCCACATTTGAAACAGTGTGAACAGCTCTCACCTGTTCTCTCATCCCTACATTTCTTGCAACCTTTTTCTCTCGGCCTTTGTTCAGGAGAACGGGGGTTCGCTTCCATTACAGCCAGAAACATTTGCTTCATCTCTTTACGAAGTTCTTCCATCATCTGCTGTACATTCATGCTGTCAGGTTTAGTCTCGTTCCCTTTTACTGTTGTGATTTCTGCTGCTGGGTTGGACTCCTTAAGTTTAGAGGGGCTCTGGGCAGGTTTGGATTTTACCTGAGTATCTGCTTGAAGCTCCTGCACTTTGGGCGTCTTACCAGCGGTGGATCTCTTGCGCTTTTCTTGTCTCTCACTTTCGACTTTGGCCGCCTCATCCACTTTCTGTATAAGCTCTTCATCTGAAATACTCAAATCACTGAGGTAGGGCAGAATTTGGAATTTCACAGAATCACTTAACAGTCCAGTTTCAATTGAGCGGAGGAACTTGCGTTGAATGACGGCTCGGCTGTACTGTTCATCTGTGTCCTCATTTGCTGCTTTCCATAACAGCTTCTCTTTCAGCTCGATTGCACGGAATACAAAGTTCAGGACAGTTTCTTTGGGCTCTTGAGAGATGTTTAGTAGCTGATGGTAAAGTTCAGTGGAGCTATCTACACGATAGTGGCCTTTCAGGATGGTGAGAAGTGAACTGAGGGTCAGACCACGTTTAATCTCTAGCATGTCTCTCAAAGGCAGCCCTGGACTGACAGCCCTGATCACAGCTTCGACTACTTCAGTCTGCGTGTGCCCTTTTTCTATTCCCATCTCAATCTGTCGAACTAAACTGGGGTACGACAATTTATCCCTCTGACCACCCTCTCCAATTTGACCACAGATCTTAAACTCTCTTCGCATGGTTACCTCAGGCAATGGGTGAGTTGGCTCTAGTCGGCTCCTGAGCGAGGACTCTGCCTTCTTTACAGGGGGACTGGGTGGTGCAAAACGCTTTTTTTCTTCTTCCTTTGGAGCTGGCTTCTCTGATGGCTTCACTGCATCTGGTTGACGACCTTCTTTACTTTGTCTTTCAATGTATGTCAATAAATCAACACAGTACTGTTTAACTTGATCACCTTCTTCGCTCTCCTCTAGATCATCCAATACGCACTCCGCCATCTTGATGAGCGCCCTCCGTGTCTTGCTGCGGGACTCTTCACTGTCCAGGCCATCACATTTCATGTACCTGCAGACCTCCCAGAGAGACTCTTCCCTTAGCTGCCACAGAGCTGCACTCACTTGATCACGCAGGATCTGACTGGCGTCCATCTTGTTTCCGGATCGACTCGTTGGGAAGGAGGGGGTTAATGGTGTTGGTCACTCTATCGCCTCCTCCTGGCTGGCTCGCCAAAATATGTTACACTTTTTGGAAAGAGGCAATGTCACTTCCGGGTGCAACACATTTATTTTTCTGTATGAAACACAAGAAAATGCAATGTTCAAACAAGGAGCACATTTCTCTGCACATTCGCGCTTCATCTCGTGCTGGACTACTTCTATACTCTTATCCTGTGATATATTCACAAATTATCTTGACTCGCATGACTGATGTCTAGGCTGATACGTCACACTAGACTAGACTCCTTACAATACTCCATTTTCAGAAAATACATGTTCTTTACACAAACACATTAACATGGATCTAAACATGTGCTATGCCCGTTATTAAACTGATATAAAAGGAAAAGGTCTGAAAAATAACATCTTTAAAGTACAATAAACTCTATGAGTCATACATTTAAACTCAAACAAGCATGTGAATAGTATTTGGAATTAAAATAGATTTTCAGGCATCAGCAATAGTTCAGTCTATACCCACATTACTCTAACATTGATAACTGCACGTGTATTCCTAATACTCTTTCATATCACTGTTTAACTTGTCTTTAATCTTTTTACTCTTCCATGAAATATGCTAATGACCTGACTACATTATGAACTAAATTTTAACCATTTAACAGTTACTGTGTTATCACTATGAACTCACAAAATTATTAATAAACTGTTTTACCTCTCAATCTGACTATGGTTCTTAATTTAACAGTATGAACGTCCTTTATTTTTACATGTAATGGCTGACAAAGCAATGCTAAATGAGGGTCACGTGTATATACGAGGGCTAAGAACAGTCACGTGTGCCTCATTAACTCCAATTGCCCAGACTTGTCTCTACACGCATTTCAATCAATGTTCATACACATATATTCGGTTAATTATGCCTCATCCCACACTCACGTCGAGTATATATGCTTTTAAACCTTTATTACTCCGTTTTGCTCACGTTAAGAGTTACTAGTTTTCTACTAATTAAATAGTTAACACTCCCGTCCGCCATTTCACGACATAACTCTTAATCACCGTTAAAACTTCACTTTTGTTAACGTTTCAGGCACAAACTATGGCTCTATAAGAATATAATACTGTTATACATATACCAGTGTAAGGTTATTGTCAGCTTACCTGTATGAAACACAAGAAAATGCAATGTTCAAACAAGGAGCACATTTCTCTGCACATTCGCGCTTCATCTCGTGCTGGACTACTTCTATGCTGCTAACTAGTCAGCCACTCATGCGCCGCGCAACTCCCGGGTGCCCCCTGCTGGCGACTCCGAGTCTCACCAAATTGAACACAATGAAAGTCATACAAGTAACTAACGATAATATGAACAGTTTGAAATTTAAAGGGGGGTGCTTTGATATCTGTCCCATTTTACATTCTTAGTGCTACATATGCTTAAATTCTGCAAACAGAACAAAGTTGCCTCTAACAACGCTCACATCTAACGTTACCGTTGTGTTTGGTCACTGATGTCAAGGTTTATGTTCGCAGAGATGTGAAAAAACGTCAGACAGTTGTATTTAGAGATAATACTGGTTTACTTATCGCTGTCTTTGGCGTTTTTCCTCCTTTTCTTTCTTTCACCGTCTTTTGGAAAATCCTGAAGGATATGAGCGCTTCATCATGATGGCATTTTTAAATTTAAATGCCCGCGTAGCGCAGCGCGCTGAGTGTGGGAAGAACAGTTTCTCTTCCGCTGACAGCTCGTGGGGGACCTGATGGGGGGTGCGCGACGGCGATGTCACTTCAACATTACAGTGATTAGGGCTCTCATAGTGTTTGTCGTTGCATAGGGGGAATCCCTTTAGTTTGGGGGGGCCCCTCTCACTCACGGAGCAGTACTGGAGAGTGATAGCGCTGTCTCGCAAAAAGGCGGATATTGACGTATGGTCAAAATACGTCCCAAAACGTCAGTTATATGACTTTTTGGGATGAGACTGTGTTAGTTGATACTGTTTGACGAGGACAGATACAACCCAAACGACCTTGCGGCCATCGGGGGCCCCCTTCAGCTGGGGGCCCTAGGCAGCTGCCTACCTTGCCTACCCCATTGCGACGGCTAAGTAGCAATAAGGTATTCGAGACTGCTGTATCGTGAATAAGTAACAGCTGAAGGGTGTTATTACAACCCCTTCAGCCGTTACTTATTCATGATACAGCACTTGCCTCGAGTACCCGTTTTGCTTTTATAAACGGTTAAAGATATTAAACTAAAAAAAAGTATATATATATATATATAGAAGGAAGGCTTTTAGTGATTTTACTTCATGGAAGTTGCACAGTGCAACTTTCATGAAGTAAAATCACTAAAAGCCTTCCTTCCGCTAGAAAAACAGCAGCAACGTTCCAATGTGTAAAATGCATGAAAGCTCAAATAAAAACAACATAGGAACCGCTGTGTCAACCCGGTCTCATCCCAAGACGTCATATAACTGACATTTTGGGACGTCTTTTGACCATACGTCAATATTCGCCTTTTTAGGGCCCCCTTAAACGTCGGTAGATGAGGTTATGGGATCCTAACTCTACCCCAGACCTAAACCTAACCCTAAACCTAACCCGTCACCTAACTGACGTTAAAGGTAAAGCGTCAGTTGTATGACGGCCCGGGATCGCCATCTACCAACGTTTAAGGGGGCCCTAAAAAGGCGGATATTGACGTACGGTCAAAAAACGTCCCAAGACGTCAGTTATATGACTTTTTGGGATGAGACTGTGTTAGCTGTGTTGTGCAGTGATATAGAACCGTTGGGTGAAGCGGTCATAGCCATGTTTTATCATGAATAAAGCACAGCTATTGACCAATCAGAATCAAGGATTTGAACTAACCATTTCATAAAAAGGGTTCTATTTCTTCTGCTATTGTTACAAGCCAAAGAACCATAATTTTCTTCTGTTTAGAATATTTTTTCTAGAACTGCCGTCTGCAAATCAATTTCCGATTCTACACATACATCAGACACAGGTCGCACCTGATGGTGTTCTCATTCCCTTCTCAGAGAACCAGGATATATACATAACCTTAGATATCTTTTGTTCAATAATCGACAAGCATGATTCCTACAAATACAAAACATTTGATTAATAACAATCTTCGTGTTTTTAGGTTGTGTGGTCTTATACTGGCAATGAAAGGAAGATACACCTTCCACCCAGCTTTTTGTCCCTGCACTTTGCAGGAATAAGTACAAACTCCACTTCTCCTTTAGTGCTCAGTTCAGAAGAGTCAAGCTCCTTTTACTCTGAAAAAGGAATCAATTTAGACGACTACTCCAGGTTACAGCAGGATGTTTACTGGGCCGGGCCTGACAGACCAATCACAAATGTGTACATGAGTACTAGTCCAGACCGCACCAAATTCATCATTCAGAACCTGAAAGAGAGCTATCAAATTGGTGAGGAGCTTTATGTTACGGTGCACGCAAAGGATTTTGACAACAAATCCAAGCGTTATGGAGGCGACTTTTTTCAAGCCAAGCTATTCTGGTCTAAAACTAAGGTCAGTTATTGTACACATTAGATTAACTAAAACTACTTGCCTGATTGTTTATCTCCCTGGTTGCACTGAGAATGTACTTTTGTCACAGGCCAGTGTTTTTGGAGAGGTGGTGGACCTGCTCAATGGCTCCTACTCTGTACGTTTCCTCTTGCCGTGGGTCGGCGAGGCACAGGTGGCTGTGCGTCTAATTCACTCCAGTGAAGCTGTGCAGGTCCTGAAGCATCACAGAGAGACAGACTCTGACAGAGTGTTCTTTAACGGATATTATGAGGGACCAGGACCAAATAAAACCAGGCTGAGTGAAACAGTGATGTGTAATGTAAAGAGGGACAACAATGAACTAGAGCATTTGGAAACAAAAGACTGCTGCTGTGAATACAACGATCCCCGTACCGGAGAAACTTGGCGCTGTCAGAGACCCAAATCGCTGCCATGCAGTGCCCTTGTGTACCACTCTATGGGTGGTTATAGAAACCGCCTGACTAAAAAGGAGAAAATACTTTTGTGAGATTAAACAACTCTTGATTGACTGTTTGATTGACATATTTGATGCATTGATGAAAGACAGTATGACAAACATGTTCTCTTTTGCAGGAAGCAAACTAACAAAGGTATCAATGGAGATAAAAGGATCATCAAAATCGTTCATTCTGAGGGAAATGAAACTATTGGTATGTTGGTCGATGGTTTAACCCAGCAGAATAATACAGTACAAGGAGGCAGATATGCTAGGAAATTTGTTGCACATAATTACATTTCTGATATTTACACAATGCAAGTCTTATAAAATCTCCAGTTCAGGCAAATTTTTGAGAATGTATACCTTTGACACAGAACTTACATTTACTCATCCTGCAGATGTTCCAGAGAAATGTCACCCTGGTTTACATACTCCAATTCCAGCTGGCTTTTACTTGAATGATGTGTGGACGTCATTTGTCTGTCACACCCGCCATTTTACAACCCAAACGACAACAGAGTGTCTGAAAGACAAACACATACACATGATGGGAGACTCTACTACAAGACAGTGGTTTGAGTTCTTTGTGAAAGCAATACCAAGTGAGTTAAATAGTTACTTATTTGTTAATTATAATTATTTATACAGTGCACAGATGCATTAATTGTGGGTCTGTATGTCAGCCCTGAAGCAGATGAACCTGCATGTCCAATATAAGTCAGGGCCACTCATAGCAGTGGATGTGAATAACAACATTGACTTACACTGGAGGTCTCACGGCGTTCCTGTGCGCACTCCGAAAACAGCATTCGCTGATCTGCACTACATCAGTAATGAGATCGATGACCTCGCTGGAGGATCCCACACAGTCATTATCTTCAATCTGGGACCCCATTTCACCACATACCCTCTGGATTTCTTCATCCATAGAGTGTTGAGAATTCGCAAAGCTGTTCTAGCATTGTTACAGCGGGCACCTGATACAACTGTTATAATCAAGACTGCCAACACTGGCTATAAGGTAACGTTATAGGCCTTCATTGCACTTAAAAAGCAGACGTTTCAAATAGTAGCGTAAAATAACTTCCTCTGTAGCCTGTATCAATTAATTGGTTTTGATGAAAAAGAAAAATGGTCTCATGTTATTCCAGCACATATTTCATGATTTAAAGGAGCGCACAAGACACTGAATGTCTAAGGCTGTTTTTACACTTGGCATTAACATACGATCACCGTGATCCGATTAAGCAGATCGGATCATTAGTCAATCAGGACATGGCGCGTTTACATTTGTTCACATTAAGTAGCCTTTATATCTTGATAACCGATCGGATTTCTGTTTCCTGCATAATATTTAAATTAGGTCTGTGGCACGACACCAGATTAAGAGTAAAGATAATACAAATTAAACAATGTCCCAATTGTTTTCACTCACTCACTTTACTTTCCTATGCAATCTGTCTTAGATCAAATTAAGTTTTTTGAACGAAGGAATACTTCCAGAGTTGATCAAACAAAAATATTCTTTTCTGACAGCCATGTGGGGAGACTGGGTGGGGATTTATATGACGTCCAGCTGTGAATGCAGAAACGATGGCTGGATTGCGTTTACATTACACTGATATCAAGTGTGTCACAGCCCTGAAACCTTGGAGGGCGATCGACTGGTACCAGTCTGGTGTAAACCTTGAGACTTCCTCGAGTGTACAGGTGATGTCCATGGACGCCTCCGCCTCGAGATGGGGAGCGCTGCACGAGGGCAGACCGTTCATCGGCCTATGGTCAGAACGAGAAAAGTTCCTAAACTTCACATAAACTGTTTGGAAATGTTGGCAGTCAGCAACGCGCTGAGGTGCTTCTGTCCCCGGATAAAGTGCTACCATGTCTTAGTCCGCTCTGACAACATGTCGGTGGTATCCTACGTAAATCGCAAGGGCGGCATCAGCTCTCGAAAACCTTTTCAGACTGACAGAGCGCATTCTGGTCTGGGCTCAACACAATCTGCGCTCACTGAGAGCAGCACACGTGCCTATATATACGCGCTGCCTCAGCTAATGCGCGATCTGAGCCATAGATTCTTATTGTGGAGATGCAGACCCAAAATCTACACGCTGCCTCGGCAAACGCGAGATCTGAGCCAATAGATTCTTCCCTCTAGTAGAAAGCCAACAAGAGCAGAGCTAAAACTCTCAAAAGTGCATAATGTTACACGTCGGGAATTTATGAATGGTAAATTGTCTGTCCCAATTTACTAGAGCTGACAGTGCATGCTCCACTCCCAAACAGATAACACATGAATCGTGTGTGTCCCCACTCGTAATGAAGTGAAGGCAGGGACGAACACACGATCCAAGGCTGTTTGCTCTCCATACTCCTATCTTTTTGTCCTGTCTCCTATCACTTGCTGAAGGCACAGAAGCTAGCGCATCCTGTTTTCATAGTGTGTGCTTTATAGTTTCCTATGACGCATCATCTCTCTATTGGACTGATTATGCATGTGCTTCACGCCGCAATTACGCAGGGGCGTTACCACAGCGACTCGCCGCAGCTCGAGTTCCCTTAAAACAGGAACGAATGTGACACTACGCGGACTGTGATAAAGGTCTATATGTACCAAGTGTTCAAATAATTAAGGCACTCTGTGATGACAATATTATGGATGATTTTGTGTTTCTCTGTCTTTAGGATATTTTTGGCAGTGACTGGTATTCTCTACAGCTGAACAGAATTCTGTACTGGGCTTTTCAGGATGTTGGCGTTTATATTGTAGATGTTTGGCAAATGACCGCATGTCACTACAGCAAAGAGAACATTCATCCTGGCCCTAAGATTATTAAAAATGAGATTGACATTTTACTCTCTTTTATTTGCCCTTACTGAATTTAAATGTAATTATCTTGAAAATGTTGTTCAATAACTGTTATTACAAGAGAAAAGCTGTCTGAAAAAACACTGAGAAATCCTGTTTGACTTCCCTGAGTTGTAATTTTTTTAAAGAATGGTTTAGTACATGTCAGAGACCTCATTTTGTGTATTATCATCTTCAAATTGGAAAAGCAACTTTTTGACTTACTAAATACACCTGCTGTCTGTGTCATTATCAATCAACTTTAATAATAGCTTTAATAATAATCAGTTTATCTGTAATTAATAACTATGCAGTGATTATTTTTACATGTTTATTCAATTTCTGTATTAATTCTGACTTGAATAATTCTGTTAAATACATGTAAAATTAGATAAAGTAAAGCACTTAATTTAGTTTGTTTCTTTCTATTGTATTTGTTACTGTTTGTTATTTGCAACATTGTTCTTATATTTAATAACAGATAAAAAAGAAATAACTAATGTGATTATTAATTGTATTTATTATTAATAAAAGAATTGAAGGGAAAGATGAAGAAAATAATTTTTATAATCAAATTGTTACCCTTTGAATCGAAATTGAATCAAGTTGTGTATTTAATATATTCATTGTTTTATTTCATTTTTTGCAAAAAACTTTTTTCCAGTTTATCATACTTCAGCTGTTTAAACTGTTTTTGTTTATATATATATATATATATATATATATATATATATATATATATATATATATATACAGTATATATTAATTCTGAAACTTTTTTTCTGAAAATAATAATAATAATACAGGACTAGATCTACACAATAAAAATGTGCCAACAGATTACAAGCAATATTATTGTTAATTAAATTTAAAAACACTTGAAAATTTAGTTCGAATTAATCAAATGAGATCCTTACAAATCAACCATTCAAAATGAGTAACTGCAAATAGCACACACTAAAGATTACCTAAACTTTAAACAGAAATATTGGTTTCATTGGACAAAACGCCATGATAATGAATACTACTGAATGGAATTGTTTTGATTTAAAACAAAAAATAGTTGGTATTATTGAATATTATTTTAGTGGATTAATTAAATGAATTTAATTAAATACCCAGACCCGAACAATATGAGTAGTAAATATTTACTACACAAATATTTTTGGAATTTTGTTGCGACTATTCATGTGGGAGATTTGGGAAGAGGAGCAATTACCCTGAACAAATCCATGTCTTTTTCCATTTAGCATTATGTTAGGTCAAGTGATTCATTCATTATTTCATTCATTCCTTAAGTAAATTCAAATGCGACGCCTAGAAAATCCCCCAAAAAAGTGTCAAGGAACTTTCTTCACTGAGTTAAATAGGCTATCTTCAGACCGAAATACGGTGGCCGAGAGGTGCAAAACAAATCACAATTATAAAAACAAAAAAACAAGTCAGAAAACACAACGACAATTCAGAAAACAAAATAACAATTCAGAAAACACAACAACAAATCTGAAAACAAATTAACAAATCAGAAAACACAAAAACAAATCTGAAAACAAATTAACAAGTCAGAAAACACAACGACAAATCTGAAAACAAATTAACAAGTCAGAAAACACAACGACAAATCTGAAAACAAATTAACAAGTCAGAAAACACAACGACAAGTCAGACAAAACGGAAAAGGTAGGTATATGTGGCGAATGGAATACTGATCGCTGATTGGACGAGACATCACAGTTAAAGCTGCCATGCATATTCCCAGGGCTTGAGCTGCAGATTTCGTGGCGTGAAGAGAGAGATCCGTCGCGCTCTTTAAATCAGTAACAGCACCAGGAAGTCTGCCCTTCTCATCCGGCTCGCGAAGGAGATCCGCTTGTAGGCGCATTAATTCCTCCTTGACTCCGGCGTGGGTCCTGCTGCATTACATAGCCAAGGAGGAGATGTGGGAGCCTGACCACTCCTCGCTGTCCGAAGCCGTGATGGAACAGCATTCCTTTTTATCCGCCTCGTCATCTGAATTGGCAGCAGTGCGGCCGCCTGGGACGGAGAGAGAGAGGCTCCCACGAGGCAGCTTCCATGGGTGGTTCCGGCGGACTTTGGGAGCGGCACTTCTTCTTGCGCGGCGAGACGAAAGGCAGCACGGCGGCTTTGGTTTTGAAAGCTTCGAGTCGAGCCCACAGGGTCGACATTGGAAGCTCCTCGCAGAGGTCGCATCCGCCACCGGAGCCGACTGCACTGCGCGCTGCAGAAGCCCCAGCCGCAAGCCATCGATAACCCGGAACGGTGTTTCCTGTACAGTCTTTCTCCCGCGGCCGCCACACCAAACAACATCCCGCTGCGGCTGCAGCAGCTTCTCAGTGAATTCTGTGCACACACTAAAATTGTTAGCCCCACTAAAGGCATAACAAATATCGTAAACCACCCTAAAGTTTTCGCACAATATTCCAAGACTTCTTAAGCAGTGTTGGGAGTAACGCATTACAAAAGTAATACATTACAGTAACATATTACTTTTTGCTGTAACGCAGTAGTGTAAGGCATTACTAATCAATTTTCAGTAATATTTTACTCGTTACATGTTCAGTGAGGCTTGTATTACAGTTGTATTACAGTGTATTTTCTGCTTTTACTTCTTAAAGGCAACAGACTATGTGAAAGTTTTAAAGCAGTCTTTTAGTGCCAGTTCAGAGCGGTCGTGTCTGTAACATTGTTTTTTCCTCATAAATGCGAACACGAAAACTAAAATAAAATGAATATTTTAAGTATGACAGCCACCATTTAAATGTTTATATTTCATATAATCTTCTTATTATAAAAATAAATAAAAGTGTAATTTAAGTTTTTGTATAGCTACAAAACAGTTAATTATTACCTTCATATTAGGCTAATGAAGCCTAGTAGGCTACAACTAGACTATATTTATAGACCATAGTTTACAGCATTTAAGAGATTTGATTCCCTTGAGAAAAATTGCCATTTATTGTAACTGATATCCAAAATAATCGATATTGAATCGAATCGAATCGTAATCGAATCGAATTGCAAGCTTGTGAATCGAAATCGAATCGAATTGTGAAATTTGTCTCAATACCCAGCCCTACTATATACGTTTCAATACATGTATTTTCTGAGAATTTTTATTTCAAGTTTTGACTGCAAATGTCATGTCCATAATGCTGGACTTCCCCAATTTTAAATAATTTATCCTCAACTAGTTTTGTGGTGTAGGTCTACGTATTTTATAATGTTAACTTCAAATAATACTAATAGCCTAATTTTAAGATAAGGCAGCATTGGATATGGACGGTAAGGAGAATAACGCTGGAGTTGGAAGAGGTGTGTCGCGATTCTGTAGGTTCGTGGATCTGAGTCGTGTGGCGAATCGCGATTTCGGTTTCATATTGCATATCGTTACAGCCCAAAAGTTAAGTTCTACTTAGTTATTTTGGTGAAAGTAACTCAAAAGTAATACATGAGTAATGTAACGCATTACAATTCTGAGACAGTAATATTGTAAGGTAATGAATTACTTTTAAATAACAGTAACAAGTAATACCTAATGTATTACAGTTTGGAAGTAACTTGCACAACACTGTTCTTAAGTCATTCAATAGCATAATGTGAGGTAAAAAATAATATTTACATCAAATTAAGTTAATGGAAACTCATCTCTCCTCCGTCATTCTCCATTCAGCATTCAAACAGCGCGTCGCATTCTGTTACCAGAGTAACACGACAAAACTCTCTTCAAGATCAATGTTCCCATTATTATACTTTATTTGTAGATACATTTATATGGTATTCATAAAATGACTTTCTTACTGGAGTTTATAGCGCTTTCTAAATCATATTCCTTTCTCCTGGGTGTCTGTTACAGCACTGGAGTAGAGAGCACTATTAATTGTTCTTCATGCACACTGTAACTGAAATTCAAAACTGTTAAAAGAAAAGGCTCAATAGACTGTAGCATAGATATAATATACTAAGCATCAAATATCTCTTACCTTGTGCTTAAACTTTTAAATGTGAAGCGCTGCGCCTGTACACTGTGACTTCGCGTTGCAGTGCCTCATTTTGCGCACGGGATGCGCATAATCGATTTGCCGCTCTAAATTGGAGCCTTATAATATTTTGGCAGGTTTAAACACCAGGGGCAAGGGTGCGTGGCCATGGGAATATCCCTGCCACCACAGGGGGGAAAGTCCTAGAAGAAACACTGCGAAAAATCTCACTGCAAACTTAATTTTCCCAGATTCCCACACCCACCTTATGGAGCTTTGATTAAAAAAAAATAAAAAATAAATAAAAAATTAAAAAAAGCTACTCCTGTTGTTATACAGTATTTATGTTTACATTTTCTTGTTAATTGAACAGCTGAGCATTTAATTGTGAACCAGGTGAAGAAACCTTTTTATTATTTATTCATTTGATTTTTCACCTGTTCACTGAAATAGCTTGTTTCAATAAAACTAGGCTACTCATATTTGGCTTTGACTGAACATTTGCTCTCACTTTGCAGAAAAAAATATTGTGATATATATCGTATATCGATATTCAGCCTAAATATATCGGGATATGACTTTTGGTCCATATCGCCCAGCCCCAGTGTTTATACAAGTTTAGAGATAGAGATTTTAATTTTCTTAAGTAGCTAAATCAAACACACACCTTAATGAGACAAGTTAAAAAGAATTAACGACAGTTAAAGAATTAAAGAATTAAGTGCACATACATTTTAGTCCAGATCAGTAGCCTAAGCTATTTTAAGAAAAAAACTGTTTGTTATACATTAGACAATTAGATCATCTCATTTATAAGAAACAACTTAAGCCAAAATCTACATTTAAACCATATGGGACCAAAGTTTTTAATGTGGGGTTTAGAATGCATTGTTTGTGTATTATAGGCTATGACAAAATAGAGTGAGTGTGCCGTTCGAATCTTTACAGATTTGCATTCATATACATACATACACACATGCCTATTATAAATGTGTTTGTGTACACATCATAAACTGTGAACTATAATTTAACTATAATTATAATTTTCCACGTGGAGAAGGCTATGTTTAAATGCAAAGAAGTAAACTGGGTCTTACAAGAAGATGCCATGTCACGCAAGGTAAAGACAGACTAGATAAAAATAAAAATTAAATTAATTTTAAAAGTGAGACAGACAGAGCAGGTAAAGAGAAGACTAGGACAGCTTTTAAACCTATATGTGGTAAAGTTTGCTAAATTTGAGCCAGACAGAACATCAACCTGACCGTTAAGTAGTCAACTTTTATTGTCTCTCGAAATAATAAGGGACTTTATTAAATTATAGACCCATCTTTTGAATTGATATCGAATCTTAGCAAATCGTTTATAAATAATAAAATTGCATCATTACACTACAATCAACAACAATAACTTTAGCAGATTATTTAAAATACCTCAATTCTTCTGGCTCATATAACATTACCAATGTAGTCTCCCCCTACTGGACGCATCAGGAACAACAGGGGCGTAAAACTGCCGGAGACTGACTTTTAGAGCAAATCTAAATGTGCCAGAAGTTGTTCCCAGGCTAAGAAAACACCATTGGACTATTTCTTTTACAAATACATATCATAAAAAATATAAAATGGAGCTTGAAACTCGGAAACAACACTGTAAGTTATTTCTGAATACTTCTTGCCATTTGTTTTTCATAGACATAGGCTAATGTAAAAATAGACAATAGGCAAATTTGGTCACTGCTCAGCAAATTATTAAAAAAACATGTTATTTATATGCCTTACTGAATTTGGTCACTGGTCGGCAAATTATTAAAAACTTTTTTATGTTCGCCTTAATGAATTTGGTCACTGATCAGCAAAAAAAAAAAAAAAAAAAAAAAAAAAAAATATGAAAAACATTTTATGTAGGCTATGCCTTGAATTTGGTCACTGATCAGTAAAAAATTATAGCTGCGTTGACGATTGTTGTATTATTAGTGAACCTGTGGTGATTTGCAAAACAAGTTTAAGAAGCATTTTTATGCACATTGTTGAATGAATTGTTTCTTTATTTTTGTTTTATTTATTTTTTAATTCTTTGTAAAGTAAAGCTGTAATCACTCATGGCCTCGACTCGCCGCACGTGTTTTTGGTGCTTGGATTTTATTACAACGCACAATATATACAATCCAAACATGGTTTATTTCAGCTACATTGGTCTGGTAATGGATAATAGTTAGGGATATATTGACCACATAGGCTAAGGCTATCATATATCAGCCGATAAATGGTCATTTTGATTTTATCGTTTTGATAAGAAAAATAGGCCGATATATCAAAGCCGATAGATATAGATTATTTACTTAATGTGCGCTGTTCGCCATGATGGTTTTGAATAATTGGAATCACTTCGAAAGGGAAGATAGTTTTAATAGTGCAGCGTCTGTCACATTCATAATGTAAAGAGATAATGTTCATAATAAAGAGTTCAGATGCAAAAGCCTCTTAGTGACATTTGAAATTTTCTTAATGTAGAATGATAATTTTTTTTATCATATTTAAGTTCAGCAATTTCACTTAAATGACAATAGGTAGATCGCCATTTAAGTTTTTTTAAAATAGGCAATGTAATTTTTGGCCACCAGGGGTCACTCAATTAAAATAATAACAAAAGACGTACTTTGATGACGTCGGGAAAGAGTGTGGGCTCATGGGAGTTGTCCCTGTCAGTGACCACCAGCTCTCTTAGGGAGAAAGAGAGAGTACACCATATTCATTGGAACAGGCGCGCTGTGTCATTCCCCACATTCAATCACATCTTTTCGAACAGAGAGATATGAATTATCAGACCCCTATTAAATCAATATTCCATCTTGCTAGTATTAAAGGGATAGTTCACTTTGAAATTAATTTTTGATATGTTTTAGCTTACCTCAAGGGGATCCAAGATGTAAGTGTCTGTTTCCACAGCATTTGCAATTTTGACATTTTTTGGTCAAACCGTTCTTGTCTGTCAGTCATATAATGGAGGTGAAGGGGGTCCTCAATCGGTGCACCTCAAAGAGCATGCACAGAGAAGTCAAAATTAAACATGATTTAATGACTCGTACATGTAACTACACGTTGATGGCCTAAGACATGAAACGAGCGGTTTGTGTGAGAAAACGAACAGTATTTATATAGTTTTACCTCTTGTAATCATGGCCATGACAAAATGATCTGACAGCACGGGCGCTTCGGTCTGCGCATGCGCTGGAAATGATTGCTTGCGCGCCTACGTCACTCTTTGTTTATACAGAGATTTCGGAAGTTTTACCTTTCACTAAACATATTTAGATATACAGGTAACCGCAATGGAAGACGATTTCGGTATATCTAAATATGTTTAGTAAAAGGTAAAACTTCCGAAATCTCTGTGTAAATATTGAGTGACGTCGATCACTTCCGAAATCTCTGTGTAGGCTAAATATTGAGTGACGTCGATCACTTCCGGCGTAACATTGAACTGATTCAGTACGGTTCAGTTGGACATTGAACAACTGATTCAGATCACTTGGATTACAAGAGGTAAAAAGGATATAAATACTGTTCGTTTTCTCACAAAAACCGCTCGTTTCGTGTCTTAGGCCATCAATGTGTACTTACATTTACAAGTCATTAAATCATGTTTAATTTTGACTTCTCTGTGCATGCTTTTTGGTGGACCCCCTTTGCCTCCAGTGTATGACTGATAGACAACAACGGTTTGACTGAAAAATGTCAAAATTGAAAATACTGTGGAAACAAAGACACCTACATCTTGGGTGCCCTTGAGGTAAGCTAAAACATATCAAAAATTAATTTCAAAAGTGAACTATCCCTTTAATAGATATTAAAAAAAAAAAAACAGTCACCTTTCGTTAATAATTATAATTACGTTTATACTATCGAACAAGATAACGTTAGATAACGGCTTTCATATGTAAAGAACTATCGGTATTGGCCAAAATGTTAATATCGCAGCACCCCTAATAATCGTCCTTTAATGTTTTTAGCATAACTACAGGGATTTATATACAGAACCGGTAAAGATCAGTGCAAATTTTCACCAAATTCAACTAAAGAAATTGCTAATCATTAACGGAAGTGTATGTAAATTGTATGGAGGATGTACTATTGTAAATCTACAGAATTTTCTGTTTTTGAATTGAAGGAAATTTCCATAATAAGAATGCCAGAAGACCTACATTATCCATTTTTTTTTCTTCAGTGTAGTAGCCTAACCATAAACAAAAAATGTTTTATATGCCTATCCTGCACAGTGACAACATAACGCTTTTACAGTTCACAGGGAAAAATCACATCTATGGAAGTTTTTCATGGGGTTGTGTCTACTGGTGATTGTGAGTTGTCTGGTAAGTTATCACAACTGCATCTTTTGAAATAGCAGTATTAATTCTTCAAATTAAAAATCAACAATGCTTAATCAAACTAAATAGTTATAATAAGCTACAAAATATTGGGTTCCATGCAGATAATGTAAAATTGTGTAAACAATTTTGACAACATTATTCTTCATGATATGCTAAAATAGGCTAGCATCTATTAAGTTGTCTATGCAGACTGACAGGTGCTTTATCGTTATTGTAGGCTATACATAATTCTGACTTCTCAATGGCTATATTTTCCCAGGCACATTGTTTAATAATAGCTAATAATTATAATAACTTAGACTTATATGGTGCTTTTCATGGCTATATGGAGAAAGTTACTGATTGAGTTTGTGTACTTTATTTGGTGACTTCCTTCTTGTTACAACTAACACGGCATATCGTGGGATCGTGAGACTATGGGACCGTGCTGTATTTTTTTGACTACCCACTGCAAAGGTAAAACCACTCGCTCCCGCAAGAGTATCGTTGGGTCCTGCTGGAGCCCAATCCCAAAACAGATCTCTACTGCAGGCCTACAGAGTAGCTACTAAACAAATTAAAATAAATAAGCTACATTTTCATAATCATCATTTTTGATTTTGCAGCAAGCGCAAGCATTCAAAAAAAGACTAATTACAATTCATTAAAAAAGAACAAAAACAATTCAAGGCAACAACAGCCCCAACTACATTCCACGCTATGCCTATGACTGATTAGAAATGACAGGCTTCACTTGACTTGACGACAGTCTTGCCATACCCGTTTACATTCTCTCTTTATTACCCCACTTGACAGCACAAAACACAACATTTTACTATTAATTTTTAATTCCCTATCAACACTGCATGTGCTGCAGTAAATACTCCAAGCCAGCAATGTTATATATGCGTGTGACGCATAAGGCATGCATATTCATCACCTATTGTAAAAGTGCTGTTATCTAAATGTACAAGGTAGTTCCCTTCTGCAAGCATTTTAAGATGCATCATGCACATATATTTTTGTGACCTAAAGCAATAGAGATGCTTGCAAAAGGGAACTCCCTTGTTGTACATTTATAAAACAGCACTTTTCCATTGGGTGGTAAATATGCATGATTTTTCAGATATCTCTGAAAAAATGTGGGGAGAGGCTGCGTAACAAATGAGAATGCATTAGGTTGAGAGTTCCTTGTGAGTTATTTCTCCCAAGGCTGCGGTCTTTCACCCTCATGGTGGGGCCCCCTCAAGCACTGGACCCGGTCGGTTATACTTCCCTGATCAGGGGCGGAGTGGGACCAAAAAATCTACCGGGAAATTTCGTAGACCACCGGCGATGATCGCCGGCACGATTTTGATAGCCGATAGCATTTACAGTTTGACTGATTTAAAAGGAACTTTGTTGTACTAGTATGCTGGAGTAAAGTTCATAAATGGTCGTTCTTTCCCATAGTAATTTCTAAAACTATGTTGGGAGGACTCTGTGCCTCAAGGGGGGTTCGGGGGCATGCTCCCCCGCAAGAAAATTTTGGACATTTTAAGGTTATAATGCATCAATCTCATGCTCTCTGAGAGATCGAAATTAAGAGCTTCAACCCATGAACTGCTCGTTGAACAAAGAAAAAACATTAATTTGTACCAGGACAATAAAGAGGGCTCAAACATCTTTTTAGTTATGAGAGTCTCAGTCTGCATTAGCCTACATTATCAATGGTGTTTTAGGATGCCAAACAATTATTATAATAATGTAATAATGATTTATAATTATTCCTATGACGTACTGTAAAATCCATTTATAGCCTATAAAATCCATTCATAGCCTATAAATGTAGGTTACTATGTAAATGAAAATGAGTATTTTAATAGTATATTTTAACCTACATTACACTATAATATAGGAACATTAAAATACTTTTGTCCTAATTTCTTCACTTGCAAGAAATAAACCCTTGAGCTTTTATTTAGGAGAAAACACCAGCAGCCTGACCATGATAATCGCGTGAGCAAAGTAATCACGCAGCACAAACTGGATGCTATTCTAATGTCAGTTACTGTATTATAATGGCGCAACGCCATATATATTCATGGTTTCAATTTTAGTTTGTTGGCAAAATGTCTGGATTTAAATGTGACTACTGTAGGAGCACACCTGATCTCTTCTGGAAGCTGCTCGGAGCTGTGGCCGTAAGGTCTCCGGTGCCTGTCGAGGCGGCAATCCTCGAACCCGGTGGTGGACACCGGAAGTAAAGGATGCCGTCAAGCTGAAGAAGGAGTCCTACCGGGCCTGGTTGGCTCGTGGGACTCTGGAGGCAGCTGACATGTACCGGCAGGCCAAGCGGACTGCGGCCCGGGTGGTCGTGGAGGCAAAAACTCGGGCCTGGGAGGAGTTCGGTGAGGCCATGGAGAAGGACTATCGGCTGGCCTCGAAGAGATTCTGGCAAACTGTCCGGCGCCTCAGGAGAGGGAAACAGTCCCCTACCAATGCTGTTTACAGTAGAGGTGGGCGGCTGTTGACCTCGACTGGGGATGTCGTCGGACGGTGGAAGGAGTACTTCGAGGACCTCCTCAATCCCGCCGTCACGTCTTCCATTGAGGAAGCAGAGGCTGAGGGCTCAGGGGTGGACTCGTACATCACCCAAGCTGAGGTCACCGAGGTGGTCAAGAAACTCCTCGGTGTCAAGGCACCGGGGTGGATGAGATCCGCCCCGAATACCTCAAGTCTCTGGATGTTGTGGGGCTGTCTTGGTTGACACGCCTCTGCAGCATCGCGTGGCGGTCGGGGACAGTGCCTCTGGGATGGCAGACCGGGGTGGTGGTTCCTCTTTTTAAGAAGGGGGACCGGAGGGTGTGTTCCAACTATAGGGGGATCACACTTCTCAGCCTCCCTGGGAAAGTCTATGCCAGGGTACTGGAGAGGAGAATACGGCCGATAGTGGAACCTCGGATTCAGGAGGAACAGTGAGGTTTTCGTCCTGGCCGTGGAACACTGGACCAACTCTATACTCTCTACAGGGTGCTGGAGGGTTCATGGGAGTTTGCCCAACCAGTCCACATGTGCTTTGTGGATTTGGAGAAGACATTCGACTGTGTCCCCCGAGGCGGCCTGTGGAGGGTTCTCCAGGAATATGGGGTCCGGGGTCCTTTGCTAAGGGCTGTCCGGTCCCTGTATGACCGAAGCAGGAGCTTGGTTCGCATTGCCGGTAGTAAGTCAGACTTCCACCCGAGGGGTCTTCACTGCCCTGGCCACCCGAAGGGTCTTCACCGACCTGGCCACCCGAGGGGTCTTCACCGCCCTGGCCACCCAAAAGGTCTGCTCCGCCCTGGCCACCCGAGGGGTCTTCACCGCCCTGGCCGCCCGAGGGGTCTGCACCACCCTGGCCACCCAAGGGGTCCTTCACAGCCCTGGCCACCCGAAAGGTCTGCTCCGCCCTGGCCACCCGAGGGGTCTTCACTGCCCTTGCCACCCGAGGGGTCTGCACCGCTCTGGCCCCCCGAAGGGTCTTCACCGCTCTGGCCCCCCGAAGGGTCTTCACCTCCCTAGCCACCCGAGGGGTCTTCACCGCCCTGGCCACCCGAAGGGTCTTCACCGCCCTGGCCACCCGAAAGGTGTGCTCCGCCCTGGCCACCCGAGGGGTCTTCACCGCCCTGGCCGCCCGAGGGGTTTTCACCACCCTGACCCCCCGAAGGGTCTTCACCGCTCTGGCCCCCCAAAGGGTCTTCACCGCCCTAGCCACCCGAGGGGTCTTCACAACCCTGGCCACCCGAAGGGTCTTCATCGCCCTGGCCACCCGAGGGGTCTTCACCGCCCTGGCCACCCGAAGGGTCTTCACCACCCTGGCCACCCGAGGGGTCTTCACCGCCCTGGCCACCCGAAGGGTCTTCATCGCCCTGGCCACCCGAGGGGTCTTCACCGCCCTGGCCACCCGAGGGGTCTTCATCGCCCTGGCCGCCCGATGGACTCTGTGTTTCGCCCTGGCCGCCCGATGGGCTCTGTGTTTCGCCCTGGCCGCCCGATAGACTCTGTGTTTCGCCCTGGCCGCCCAATGGACTCTCTGTTTCGCTCTGGTACCCGGTTAAACCCTCACCCCTTGTTCCTGTCGCCCTTCACGGACCTGGCCCACCATCCCCCCCCCCCCCCGATCCTCCACCGTTCCACCTCCCTCCTGAACTCTTATCGTGTTTTTGTGTGTTGTCGTGGAGCGTCTGGTAGCCGCTCCGTAGAGGAGGGGTTATGTCACAGTGTCTGGTTGTGTTCCCTTGTTTATCGACTAGATGTCCTCCTTCCCGATGGTGTCATTCACTATCTGAACTGCATTTCCCAGCATTCTGTCTGTCACTGTCACTCATCAGTTCATTGCACTCAGCTGTTCCCCATAATCATTGTTCCCAGCTGTTCTGTGTTAGTCTTGTTAGATATGTGTTATATTCCCTGTCTGTGTTAGTATGTAAACTCTTTCTTTCATCTTCGAAATATTGCTCGTCTAAGACCATCTCTCACTTCAGCTGACGCCGAACTCTTAATTCATGCATTAATCACATCACGTCTCGATTATTGCAATGCTTTATTTATTGGCCTTCCCAAAAAACTTATTGCTAGATTACAGCACATCCAAAACTCAGCAGCAAGAGTTCTCACCTCCACCAGGCGTTCTGCTCACATTACTCCGGTGCTTCATGACCTTCACTGGTTACCCGTTGCATCTCGTATCCACTTTAAGGTATTGCTTTTAACATATAAGGCATTAAACGGTCTTGCACCCCCATATTTGTCTGATCTACTTTTCACCTACCGTCCTGCACGCTCTCTCAGATCAACTGAACTTGGTTTATTGTTACAGGGGGTGCAGGGTTAACTAATACTTCTTAAGTCGGTTGCCTACTGCTCACACGTACAAAGAATGTAGTTTATTTTAGCCACTTCCATACAACTTGCTAAATCAGTGATAGACAGAAATCAAAAGGTCTTCAGAGGACGTGCCTACTGCTCGATTCACATCTGTGCCTTTAGTTTGACCCATCCTGCAAGATTTGCGGTAGCACCAGCCTCCTATAATTTACTAAAATAATGCCGTCAGAATACTTCAGAGTAAATCAAGATGTAACATTTATTTGTCAGGAAAAAAATGTATCAAGCCAATTACCCAAGCAATTAACAGCCAATTGAGAAATAGTAAATACATGACATCAATTACTCAAAGATGATTCTAAAAGTAAGCAATGCATTCCTGACAGAGACACACAGTAGTGTGTGAGTGCTTTCCACCGGGAAAACACTGACACAGCACTGTATGGGGGTTTTCCTGGTTACAGGTTCCTGAAGACTGCTCTGTTACCTAGCCTTAGATACCCAGAGCAGAACAAAAGGGTTGTACCAATATCTTTCAGAGTTTGTTTTGGGTCCATTCCTATACAGGTAACACCTGGTCTCGGGGGAGAGGGGAGATATCTTGAAAAGACATCACCCCTGGAGGAAAACAGGATTCTCCTAAGTTCTCAATCTTTTTCCTATTTCCAATAACTGTAATGAAATTAAGACTATTTTACCAATCACACTGAGACACTTAAAATGATACCAAACATGAAAAGGGAAAACCTTAGATTCACAAGCAAAAGAACAATAAACACCTATGACCCAAATCTTTTTTGGGGCATCTCCCACAACAGAAGAACAGGCGTTGTTTTCTTGTTCTGCCTGCTCTGCTGCTGCAGGAATGAAACAATTTCACCACTCGCGCCAGAAGTATTTATTTTGCCCTTGCATAACACAGCTGGAAGTAGGAGGTTTGTGAGATTTGCATGCCTGAATGAGCCCTGGAGGAGAGAAGATATTGTGCAGAGTCAAGAACTACAACATGGGGGGAAGAGATCAGGTTGGACCAGTTGTGTGGTGCCCTCTGTCCCTTTGATCTCTTTTACAGATTTGTGAGTTTTTATTGTTTTACTGCAGTTTCGAATTCCTAAATTCAGTCTTAGGAAATTCCCGAACCGTGAGGTCTGAACCGTTCCACCCCTAATATATATATATATATATATATATATATATATATATATATAGTGCAACTTTCATGTAGAAAGTAAAATCACTAAAAGCCTTCCTTCCACTGGAAAAAAATAGTCCCTGACCGTGAACAGCAACAACGTTCCAATGTGTAAAATGAATGAAAGTTCGAATAAAAACAACATAGGAACCGCTGTGTTGCGCAGTTGACCAATCAGAATCAAGGATTGGAACTAACCATTTTTATATAAAAAAGGGGGTTCTATTTCTTGTTACAAGCCAAAGAACCATAATTTTGTTCTGTTTAGAATAATATTTCTAGAACTGCCGTCTGCAAATCAATTTCCATTTTCTACACATACATCAGACACAGGTCGCACCTGATGGTGTTCTCATTCCCTTCTCAGAGAACCGGATATATACATAACCTTAGATATCTTTTATTTAATAATCGACAAGCATGATTCCTACAAATACAAAACTTTTGATTAATAACAATCTGTGTATTTTTAGGTTGTGTGGTCTTATACTGGCAATGAAAGGAAGAAACCCAGCTTTCTGCACTTTGCAGGAATAAATACAAACTCCACTTCTCCTTCAGTGCTCAGTTCAGAAGAGTCAAGCTCATTTTACTCTGAAAAAGGAATCAATTTAGACGACTACTCCAGGTTACAGCAGGATGTTTACTGGGCCGGGCCTGACAGACCAATCACAAATGTGTACATGAGTACTAGTCCAGACCGCACCAAATTCATCATTCAGAACCTGAAAGAGAGCTATCAAATTGGTGAGGAGCTTTATGTTACGGTGCACGCAAAGGATTTTGACAACAAATCCAAGCGTTATGGAGGCGACTTTTTTCAAGCCAAGCTATTCTGGTCTAAAACTAAGGTCAGTTATTGTACACATTAGATTAACTAAAACTACTTGCGTGATTTTTGATCTCCCTGGGTCAGAGAGAGTTGCACTGAGAATGTACTTTTGTCACAGGCCAGTGTTTTTGGTGAGGTGGTGGACCTGCTCAATGGCTCCTACTCTGTACGTTTCCTCTTGCCGTGGGTCGGCGAGGCACAGGTGGCTGTGCGTCTAATTCACTCCAGTGAAGCTGTGCAGGTCCTGAAGCATCACAGAGAGACAGACTCTGACAGAGTGTTCTTTAACGGATATTATGAGGGACCAGGACTAAATAATACCAGGCGGAGTGAAACAGTGATGTGTAATGTAAAGTGGGACAAGAATGGACTAGAGCGTATGGGAACAGAAGACTGCTGCTGTGAATACAACGATCCCCGTACCGGAGAAACTTGGCGCTGTCAGAGACCCAAATCGCTGCCATGCAGTGCCCTTGTGTACCACTCTATGGGTGGTTATAGAAACCGCCTGACTAAAACGGAGAAAATACTTTTGTGAGATTAAAAAACTCTTGATTGACTGTTTGATTGACATATTTGATGCATTGATGAAAGACAGTATGACAAACATGTTCTCTTTCGCAGGAAGCAAGCTAACAAAGGTATCAATGGAGATAAAAGGATCATCAAAATCTTTTCTTCCGAGGGAAATGAAACTATTGGTATGTTAGTCGATGGTTTAACCCAGCAGAATAATACAGTACAAGGAGGCAGATATATTGGGAAACGTGTTACACATAATTACATTTGATATTTAGACAATGCAAGTCATATAAAATCTTCAGTTCAGGCAAATTTTTGAAAACGTATAACTTTGACAAATAACTTACATTTACACGTCCTGCAGATGTTCCAGAGAAATGTCACCCTGGTTTACACACTCCCGTTCCAGCTGGCTTTTACTTGAATGATGTGTGGACGTCATTTGTCTGTCACACCCGCCATTTTACAACCCAAACGGCAACAGAGTGTCTGAAAGACAAACACATACACATGATGGGAGACTCTACTACAAGACAGTGGTTTGAGTTCTTTGTGACAGCAATACCAAGTGAGACAAATAGTTACTTATTTGTTCATTATAATTATTTATACAGTGTATAGATGCGTTAATTGTTGGTCTGTTTTTCAGCACTGAAGCAGATGAACCTGCATGTTCAATATAAGGCAGGGCCGCACATAGCAGTGGATGTGAATAACAACATTGACTTACACTGGAGGTCTCACAGCGTTCCTTTCCGCACTCCGAAAACAGCATTCGCTGATCTGCACTACATCAGTAATGAGATCGATGACCTGGCTGGAGGATCCCACACAGTCATTATCTTCAATCTGGGACCCCATTTCACCACGTACCCTCTGGATTTCTTCACCCACAGAGTGTTGAGGATTCGCAAAGCTGTTCTAGCATTGTTACAGCGGGCACCTGATACAACTGTTATAATCAAGACTGTCAACACTGGCTATAAGGTAATGTTAATTTTTTTAAATTAAATTACATTAAAATGAATTAAATTAAATTGAAAAATATTCAGATTATTCCTCTAGCAAAGCAGAGCGCGTCAGGGTTTTACAACCGTTGTTTTCTTTTCCCCAAGAAAGACGGTGGCCTCAGACCGATTTTAGACTTCAGATTTTTGAACAGAGTGCTTGCAAAAAGTTCAAAATGCTTACACTCAAGAAACTCCTCGCGCATGTGCACCAGGGGGACTGGTTTATTTCTCTCGATCTGAAAGATGCCTACATTTAGATTCAGATAAATCCCCGTCACAGGCCATTCTTGAGATTCGCCTTCGACGGCCAGGTTTATCAACACACCGTCCTCCCGTTCGGCCTATCCTTAGCACCCCGTACGTTCACGAAGTACATGGATGTGGCACTCACACCCCTGCGGAGTCAGGGCTTGCAAATACTGAACTATTTGGACGACTGGTGTGGCCTTTCGGTTAATTGGACAAAGAGCTCTCCACAGCCCAGCCAGGGGATTTCCTTCCTTGGAATAGATCTAGACTGAGTGGCTGTAGCGGCTTGCTTATCAACACAGCGTGCGCGCCGTGTTCAGCGGCTAGCCGCCTCTTTTCTCCATCGGTTCCTATCTGGGATCTTTTTATAGTTCTCGAAGCTATGAAAGCCCCTCCTTTTGAACAGCTTCATTCCGTGGATTTTCATTCCTTTCCCTCAAAACCGTTTTTCTGATTACCCTGTCATCAGTGAAACGCATGGGACACCATCACTGCGATTGCCTCTATAATCCGGGGGATTCGGGCTCGAATTTAAGACTGGGCGTCACGTCATGCACGTTCATGCTCACCTGGCTATGTCTGGCAGGTTTGTGTATTCACCACCATTCTCCGTATTAAAGAAGACAACTCGAGTGACACAACTTTAGTCAACTTTCCACAAAAGTAGAAGATGGCTTCAAAGGGGCTGTGTACACCTGGTCACTTCATGCGTTTTCTGTGATCGGATAGCTATTTGATCTCTATTATGCCCTCCGAAACGCATTCGAGACGGATTTGAATCCTATCGCTCAAACCACTTGAGGAGGAGGTCTGGACCGCACTCCAGACGAAAGTGTAAATGCATCTGGTTGTTGAAACCAGGCTAAATGTCATGTTATTTTAGTCATATACTGTATGACGACGCGCATCACCTCAGATGAGCAGCTGAGTGCCTATTCATCAAGCCAGCATGCACGGCGCAATCTATCGCAAATCAAAGTGAAAGTAAGTTGCAGACGCTTAACACTACCATCTTCATTAAAAGTAAAGAAATGAAATGATCTTACCAGGGCTGTTGCCGCTCTCTCTTATTGCTGTCTTGTTTTGAAATTAGCCAATGATCAATAAAATGCAGCTCATATCTTTTGCTTTCGGTGACGTGCACTTCATTAAATCTGTATATAGCTCGGGAATTGAAGATCGGATTTATATCCGTTTTGCACAAACACATTTATGTGACCAGGTGTAAATGGAATCGTTTTGATAAATCAGATAGCTATCCGATCTGAGAATATGCATGAAGTGGCCAGGTGTAAACAGCCCCAAAGAGACCGGCTTGTAGTTCATCACAAACCCCAATGCAAACTCCACATAAGACAAAGAAAATAAAACTTTTGTCTAGTGCCAGACGTCGGAATAAGACGAGTGTCAACATCGGGAAGGCTTTCAACACATGGAGAGATCTCCAGTCTGCTCTAGGGCTCAAATGGGTCCTATACAAAGTAATAACATATATTGTTCATGAACCTCTTTCCATAATAATACAATTACAATCATAAGTGGATATAGGAAGCACATAAAACAGTTCAACATGGAGATAGATGGAAACAAAATCTGAAGTTTTCTACCCCCGTTTCCTCCCTCACACACACATAAGCGTGTAATTTACTCAAATGCATTTCCTTTCATATATACTTTAAATGGCTTGCAGATTTATAACTTTATTACCTCTGAAGACATTATGACTGTAACAAAATATGTGTGCGGCTGATGCTCCTTTGGTTATGAACAGCTTGTGCAAACGTGCGTGTGTGTGTGATCCGTGTGATCCGTGAGCGCCCACACCTCTGGTTGCAGTTTCGCAGAGACTTGCGTTTTGCTCCTTTAAGGCACTCTGTGATTAATGATTTTGTGTTTCTCTGTTTTTAGAATATTTTTGACAGTGACTGGTATTCTCTACAGCTGAACAAAATTCTGCACTGGGCTTTTCAGGATGTTGGCGTTTATATTATAGATGTTTGGCAAATGACCTCATGCCACTACAGCAAAGACAACATGCATCCTGGCCCTATCATCATTAAAAATGAGATTGACCTTTTACTATCTTTTATTTGCCCTTACTGAATCTAAATTAAATGATCTTGAAAATGTTGTTCAATAACTGTTATTACAAGAGAAAAGCTGTCTGAAAGAACACTGAGAAATCCTGTTTGACTTTCCTGAGTTGTAATTAAATTGTCCAATTATAAACCACTGCTTGAATTCTCCACTAAAATATTTTTTTTAAAGAATGGTTTAGTACATGTCAGAGACCTCATTTTTTGTTTTATCATCTCCAAATTGTAAAATCAACTTCTTTGGCTTACTAAATAAACCTGCTGTTTGTGTCATTAATGTTTATCAGTCAACTTTAATAATAGCTTTAATAATAACCAGTTTATGTGTAATTAATAAACTGAAGACTATGCAGTGATTACTTTTACATGTTTTACAATTTCTGTATGAATTCTTACTTGAATACTTCTGTTAAATAGATGTAAAATTAAATAAAGTTAAAGCACTGTTAATTTAGTTTGTTTCTTTCTAATATTTTATTTGTTACTGTTTTTTATTTGCAAAATTGTTCTTATTTATAATAACAGATAATAACAAATAACTAATGCGATTATTAATAGTAATTATTATTAATAAAAGAATTGGGGGAAAAGATGAAGAAAATGATTGTTTTATAATCAAATTGTACCCTTTGAATCTTAATTGAATCATGTTGTGACTCCTGAGGCAAGATCACAATTTATTTAATATATGCATTGTTTTATTTTATACAAACAATATTATTAATTAAATTTAACAACACTTAACAATTGAGTTAGAATTAATCAAATGAGATCTTTACAAATCAACCATTCAATATGAGTAACTGATAGCACACACAAAAATGTATTCAAATTTAAATACAAATATTAAAATTAATACAAATATATTATAGTAAAAATGCTATGATAATGAATACTACTGAGTGGAATTGTTTTGAATTTTGATTTAAAACAAAAAAAGTTGGTATTAATAAATATTATTTTAAATTAATTTAATTAAATACCCAGACCCAAACAATTTAAAGGAGAACTCTGGTGCAAAATGAACCTTTGGTCTAATTACACATTGTTACCTAGTCAACTGTTATCTGAGATTTGTTTTCATGATTGCCGAATGTAAATAGTTTTATCTCTAAAAACAGTTTAGCCTATAACGCTAGTATATAAGGTATAGAGTAATGACAAATAAAAATCGCTTGTTATAACCACTAACAAGGCTCAAAATAGCCCCACACTAACACAGTAGCATAATAACATTCAAACCGAAGCATTGAGAACTTTGTCAGTGTCCATACAGTTTAATAAGCAGATATTTTATACACACAGTCAACTTCGCGAATACAGGAAGAAGCCATCTTTGAAAAATAGTCTCTACCAGTCGATCTACGAATGCCAATCCAAGTGCGCTGAACTGTGCAGAATCTCATATGGTCCGTTGTTTCCGGAAGAAACACAAACACGAACCAATTTCTTCTCTTCAATATGTACACGTAGCCTACTGTTCGCGCTCACCTTATCACCTTATTCACATCTCACCAGCGCACTTGGATCGGCGTTCGTAGATCGACTGGTAGAGACTATTTTTCAAAGATGGCTTCTTCCTGTATTCGCGAAGTTGACTGTATGTATAAAATATCTTCTTATTAAACTGTATGGACACTGACAAAGTTCTCAATGCTTCGGTTTGAATGTAGGGACCCTTATTATTCTACCGTGTTAGTGTGGGGCTATTTTGAGCCTTGTTAGTGGTAATAACAAGCAATTTTTATTTGTCATTACTCTATGCCCTATATACTAGCTATATACTAGCGTTATAGGCTAAACTGTTTTTAGAGATAAAACTATTTACATTCGGCAATCATGAAAACAAATCTCAGATAACGGTTGACTAGGTAACAATGTGTAATTAGACCAAAGGTTCATTTTGCGCCGGAGTTCTCCTTTAAATTGTTTGGGTCTGGGTATTTAATTAAATTAATTTAAGTATTTCCTACACAAATATTTTTGGAATTGTGTTGGGACTGTTCATGTGGAGTTTTGGGGGAGAGGAGCAATTAAATTGAACAAAATTCTAAACACAACTCTTTTGTAGGAGGCTGTTATGTAACGTTACAGCTTTTTTTCCGCGTTCTTGTCTGCGCCAGTTTCAATATTTCAGAAATAATATTTTTCTGCTAGTCCGGCACTTTGCAACAACACAGCATTGTTTCGGCAATGAGTTTACATCTCACAATTCTGACTTTATTTCTCAGAATTGCCAGATGTAAAGTCAGAATTATGAGATTTAAACTATTCTGAGGGGGGAAAGAGTTAGTTTTTTTTTTCCACTTAGAATTGGCCTGATAACTCACAATTGCGAGTTTATATCTCATAATTCTGAGAAAAGATGTCAGAATTTCGGCATATAAACTCGCAGTTATGTGTTATAAAGTCAGAATTGTGAGATGTAAACTCACAATTGTGTCTTTTTTTCTCAGAATTGCGACTTTATATCTCTCAATTCTGACTTCATATCTCCCAATTCTGACTTTATAACACGCAATTGCGACTTTATTTCTCACAATTCTGACTTAATAGCTCGCAATTGTGAGATAAAAAGTCGCAAATTATTATTATTTTTTTTTTTATTCAGTGGCGGAAACAAGCTTCCATACTTATGAAGCGAAACGATCGCTCATTTAAAAAAAATAATAACAAGGTTTAAGCTTTATAAGCTCAAATGCTCGCCTTGCTCTGTACTGCGATGCACGTTCGTGACTCTCCTGTTTGAACTCGTTCATCAAAATGAACGAATCATTTTCCGAGTCAATTTGTTTGTTTCGTTCCTTGAATTAACCAAATGACTCGGAAAAGATTTGTTAAATAGCCCCTATTATGGATTTTTGAAAATGACTGTTCATATGGTGTGGAATATAGCTCTGAGGGAATGAAAAAAAACCTGCAAAGATTTATATCTGAAAGTGCACCGTATATAAAGTTATTGTCTTACAAAAGTGAGAGTCGACTCTGAGTCTATGAAATGAATTGTTTTTGAAACGAGTCATTAGCTGGTTTGTCGTGACGTAGATACATACTGGCCCCGGCCAGTTACTGTGCACGCAGACGGAAGTGTAAACTTGAAGTCTACACATTCAAATACTTCATAATAGCATCATGTCGAGAAGAAGCTGTTCTACAATGCAAAGATAGTTCAGCCACTTTGTTTTCATTTACCAGGACGAGCATGTGAAGAATCGGTGGTTAGAGTTCATATTTGCAATGATACCACAACAGTATAGCCCGATTGTGTTCTCATCATTTTAATTACGAATTGTTCAAAAACATGATAAATGAATTCAAATGTGGATTCGCAAGCAGTTGTTCCTGAAGGAGGGCTCAGTAACTTACTTACCCAGTGTATATGGATCAGCTTCCTCCTTCGAATCACAGCCTGTAAGTATTATTAATACTTGTTGCTTTTATGGGTTTTGAACGGTTTTGTTGCGTCGGGGCGTGAGGCAGTAACGTTATGTGTGTGCGCGTGTATCTGTGTGTGTAAGTTACGCTCAGCTCAGCTTCTAGGTCTCCAATGTCATTTTTTTTTTAAATATGGGAAATGTTTGTCGCTGTTATTGGAGTTGTCATAAACAATAGAGCGTCTTGTAGTACTGCAGTGCTCTATCAATGTTTATGCGTTACGGTTATGCTAACAAACAATAACTGACTGAGTCTGTCGTCAGACCAATCACCGCCGATTAGCGTCACGCAAAGGAGTGGTTTGGAAAAATGAGTCGTTGTACGAATCATTTGGGAGTCGGTGAGCAAATCAGTTAAAAATAAATGCATATCATAAGACAAATAAAGTGTTTTTTATCCTTGCATGCATGTTAAACGTTTTTTGGGAACTCCTAAAACAAAAATAGGAACATTTAAAATGCTATGATAGGGGCTCTTTAATTTTGATGAACGAGTTCGAACAGGAGAGTCACAAACGTGCGTCACAGAACAGAGCAAGGTGAGCATTTAAGTTGCTCAAGGTGAGCAACTTAAACCTTATTTATTTATTAAATGAGCGATCGTTTTGCTTGCTTCCATCGTCCATTTCGCTTGCTTCCATCGTTTCCAGATGGGTATCCTGGAGTCTGTGACGGGAAGGGGGGCCGGGTGCAGCTGGACGGACTCCAGAATGGTCCAGGCGGCTATGGCGGAGGGCAGAGAAGGGCGTACAGTAAAGACGTGCAGATGTGCAGGCGGTCAGGGCGGAGCAGGACGTGCAGGCGGCCTGAGTGGAGCAGGATGTGCAGGCGGCCAGGGGACCTTTGGACGGCCACGGCGAATACATATGCCAGACATCTGGAGAGTGCCTCTCTCCAGTCCAGACCGGAGAGGTCTGGGAGCTCCCTCGGGTCCACGGTGTCAACCCCAAGCCGGTAACATGCCTTAATGGCCTTGTCTAGAGTGCTGGAGGCAGCTAGAGGAACAAACCCCCACGTGAATTTGAACAGATCGCGGCTATCCTGAGCCAAAGCCGCGATCTGTCCAGCAAGTTCCCCGCTCAAATTGGTTAGGTCGGTCGTTCTGTCAGGCTTTGTGAAGGATGCAGAAGACAAGGACAAAAGGAACTCAATGTAGATGCTTTATTTAACTAGAAGTGGACATGAACAACTGAACTGAGGCTTAATTTTAAATTTAAGTTCAAATCTGGTTTGAACCAAACTCAAAATAAGTGTAAACAGTCAGGGGCAGGAGAATCATAGCAAAAAAAAGGCTGTAACATGCATTGAAAGTTAGAAACACGATTTCAAAAATTCACTGGGAAAATTGAAATTGTGGAAAGAGAGAATTTTGAGGAAAGGATGACCTAGCTGCTAGTGTCCACACAATGGCGCTATGCTCTCACACAGTGTGAAGTCAGGGGAGGTGGTGGTAATTCGAGACCACAAAGCACTTAAGGCTGCACCCTAGTGTTTGACAGCGGAATTACAACCAGCCTGCTTCCCAATGTGATTGACTCTGAGGGCGTGCAGAGTTAGACGCCTTGTTGCTGCATAATCACAACCAGTAAGGAATTTTAAATATCGGCGATTTTTTTTTCCCGGTGCTTTATTTTACAAATACATCTGGCAGAATTTCTTCGCTGTGCTCTGCAAAAAGACAACAGGAATTGTCCGTTTTTCTCTCACACACATGTCCTGTATTCACTCAAAATCACATCTACTGTCCTGCAACAGAGCAATGACCAGGTGGTCACCAGAGTAATGGCTGATAGACCCTATTCAGAGCAGCACCATGACAGGTATGGAAGCGAGGCTGCAGAGGATAGACATCATGTTTTCAATAGCATCCACTGGAGTTGTCTGGAGTTTGTCTACTGTTTTTTTTTTTTTTTTTTTTGGGGGGGGGGGGGGGGATGTTTAGAGAACAATCCAAAAACATTAAATAACAGTATAAACGAATGACTATCTCTCACAGCCTTT